CAATCCACTCACCTCAGCCTCCCAAAGCGCGGGATTACAGGCTGAGCCACGGAACCCGGCATTGGTGTTCTTAAAAGACTCTTCAAGTGATATATATATTTTTTTGAGTCAGAGTCTTACTCTCTCACCCAGGCTGGAGTGCAGTGGCACACTCATGGCCTCCGAAGCCTCAACCTGCTGAGCTTAGGTGATCCTTCCACCTCAGCCTTCCAAGCAGCTGGAACCACAAGCATGCACCACCACACCCAGTTGATTTTTTGATTTATTGTAGAAACGAGGTCTTGCCAAGTTGCCCAGGCTGGTCTTGAACCCCTGGACTCAGGCAATCCTCTCACCTCTGCCTCCCATAGTGCTGGGATTACAGGCATGAGCCACTGTGCCTGGTTTCTATTTTCATCTATTAAGCTTTCAATCTGGTATACCCAATCCCTTCTCCTGCCCACAGGCATTTTCTGGGTCTCAGTGAAAGTGTCTAGACAGGCTGGGCACAGTGGCTCATACCTGTAATCCCAGCACTTTGGGAAGCTGAGGTGAGAGGCTCACTTGAGGCCAGGAGTTCGAGACCAGCCTGGGCAACACAGCAAGACTCTTTGCACAAAAAAAAATGTAAAAATTAGCCGGGTGTGGTGGCAGCTACTTCAGAGGCTGAGGCAGGAGGATCTTTTGAGCCTAGGAGTTTGAGGCTACAGTGAGTTTTGAAAGCACTACTGCACTCCAGCCTCAGCACAGAGCAAGACCCTATCTCAAAAGATACACAAAGAAAGAAAAAAAAGAAAGTGTCCAGGCTGTATCTGCACACACCTCAGGGCTCTGGAGGCTCTGGAGGCTTGGCGGGTGTAGCCTTGTGTCTCCTGCAGACCTGCTCTCACGCTGACACAGCCCTGATGTCACCCTGGCTCCTGGGCATCCATCTCCGCTGGCTCTAGAGCCTTATCTTCTCTAGAAGTTTCTGGCTTCCAGCATGCCACAGCCTTGGATGACCACAGTCCAGCTGCCCTGCCTCATGGCCTGTGGTGCCCTTCCAGGAAGCTCTCCACCTTCATCGCGTACATGAAGAGCCACAGCTACGACGTGGAGCAGCTGTGGAGGGACATCGAAGATGTCATCATCAAGACCATCACCTCGGCCCACCCCATCATCAGGCATAACTACCACACCTGTTTTCTCAACCACACACTCATCAGCGCCTGCTTTGAGATCCTGGGCTTCGACATTTTGTTGGATTACAAACTCAAACCCTGGCTGCTTGAGGTAGGGAGGGTTGGGCGACGGTTGAAAACAGACCCCTGCTATTGGGGTCAGCCAGCTGCAGGGACTCCACCCTCCTGGCTCACCTGGTTGCTTCAGCTCCCTGTGCAGCCTGGAGTGCCTTTCCTAGCTGAGAAGTGGCCACCAGAGGGAGGTAGACGGCTGGGAATTAGAGAATTCCTTGTGCCTTCTTGAGGTCCATCCAGACTTAGAAAGGCTGGTCTCATGTACAAAGGGATTCTAAAGACAGCTACGCCTTTTGTGACAAGAGTTGTCTCTCAGAAAGGGGGTGTTTTTCCTCAAAATTGGGTTGACGATATTCAGAATCAGGCAGGAGCTGCCATACCTGGCTCCCAGGGCCTGGCCTACTCAGTTCCGAGCACCAGTGGAGAGATGCCTGGTGTCCACTGTCACAGAAATGGGTGGGAGAACCACGCAGTGAGACTACTGCATCCTTCAGACCCACAGGGTGGTAAGAGGAGGAAGAGAAGCTTTGCTGGTGGCTGCCTGTCTTCCTGATCAGACTTGTCCTCTGGAGCCCTCTCAAGTGACCGTTCGGTGACCATGATAAGGAGGAAAGGGTGTGTGGTGATGTCAGAAACCTGGTATCAGGTGCCAATGACACCGAGTCAGACTTTAGAGTGGAGAATCCAGAATTATAGATCAGATTCCTGCAGCATGCCCAGCCCTTGTTCCCAGGTGTCATGGGAAGGGGAACCTGGCTGACAGCAGCTCTTACACAAAGAGCGGAATGAGCCGCTAGGAGCAGGCCTTCAGGAGCTACTAAAAGTCTACAAATGTCACACAGGGCCTCTGAATTATATGGACTTCTCCATAGGCAGAAATGAGTCCTCTCCCTCCTTCCACCTGTCTCCCCTCCACCCTGGTCAGGCTCCTGGATGTCACTCCTCCCTACTTCCCGCCTCCCAGCTCTTTGGACCGTCCCCTGTCCTGCTCTGTGGGATGCTCAGTGCACATGAGGGAACACACACACCCCAGCTAGAACACACACAGCCAGGAGAGGGCAACCCTTGATGCTTCCAAAAAAGAAAGGACTAAGATAAAAGCTGGGTAAACTAAAGGAAATTCTGCTTCCGCCTTTCTTTGCTGGAGCTCCAGTCCAGATGCTCTCTCCTCCCCCTTTCTCTCACCTTGGTAACCAGGTAGCACCCTGGAGGTGACATCTCAGCCTCACTCCCTGCTTTTACTGTGGACAGCATGTCCCCAGCTGCCATCTTGTCTTCACAGGTCAACCACTCTCCAAGTTTCTCCACCGACTCCCGTTTGGATAAAGAGGTAAAAGACAGTCTGCTGTATGACACTTTGGTCCTGATCAACCTGGGAAGCTGTGACAAAAAGAAAGTCTTGGAGGAGGAGAGACAACGGGGGCGGTTCCTACAGCAGTGTCCTTCTCGGGAAATCAGGTACAGCAGCCCTGGGGCCTTATTCTGTGACTTGTCTTTTCCCAATAAAAGTAGCCTGTCCTGTACAGGTTATGAGTCAATAACCCACTAGTTGTGTGGCCTTCCTGTCACTTCTCTGAGCCTCAGTGATCTTTCTGTGAAACAGAGCTATGATACATAAGGCTAATGGGGGAATTAAATGAAATAATGCATATAAAACACTTTGCATAGTGCCTGGCGCTATAATTTATGTTAGAGGCTATTAGGAATCTTGCCTGGA